AATGTTCATCATCACTGGTCATTAGAGAAATGCAAATCACAACCACACTGAGGTATCATCTCATGCCAGTTAGAATGGTGATCATTAAAAAATCTGGAGACAACAGATGCTGGAGAGGATGTGGAGAAACAGGAACACTCTTACACTGTTGGAGGGAGTGTAAATTAGTTCAACCATTGTGGAAGACAGTGTGGCGATTTCTCAAGGATCTAGAAATAGAAATTGCATTTAACCCAGCAATCCCATTGTGGGTATATACCCAAAGGACTATAAATCGTTCTGTTTTAAAGACATATGCATACGTATGTTCATTGCAGCCCTATGTACAATAGCAAAGACCTGGAACCAACCCAAATGCCCATCAATGATAGACTGGACAAAGAAAATGTGGCACATATACACCATGGAATACTATGCAGCCATAAAAAACGATGAGTTCTTGTCCTTTGTAGGGACTTGGATGAATCTGGAAACCATCATTCTCAGCAGACTGACACAAGAATAGAAAACCAAACACCGCATGTTCTCACTCAGGCGGGTGCTGCACAATGAGAACACGTGGACTCAGGGAGAGAAGCATCACACAATGAGGGTAGTGGGGGAGGGCTAGGGGAGGGACAGTGGGGTGGGAAGGGTGGGGAGGGATAACATGGGGAGAAATGTCAGATATAGATGAAGGGGGAATAGAGGCAGCAAACCACCTGGTTATGTATGCACCTATGCAACATCCAGGTATGACCTCCACATGTACCCCAGAACCTAAAGTAAAATAAATTTTAAAAATTATTTAAAAAAATAAAGAAAACTTTTAGTTTTTTGGCAGGGATTACAATCTTTTGATTGTTGATAAACTCTAGTTTCTATTTCCAAAAAAACTCCCAGCATTTGGGGTTTATTTTCATCTTCTTTAGTTTCGTCACGCTTAGATAGAGATCATAGTACTGAGTTACCTGTGTAAATTGCTATGGTGACATGTTTATCTTCCCTTGGTTCAAAACGCCCTCAAACTAGGGTATGTGTTATTCTTGAAATGGAAGCATTGCTTTGTCAACTGTCACTTCCTTCCTCCTTGGGGGGATTGAAGACTTCTAAATGAGTGTGAAATTTAATACAGACTATAACTCTCTGGGCAGGTCCCCAAATTTATTGGTTCCGCTTTCAGATTGTTAAAGGTACAGCATCAAAAATCTGGAATCCAGTAAACTGGACCTGTGATCACTAATGAGGCCTGCTCTTTCAGCTTCCCCTTCTTGGCTGTTCTGTCTGCCTGGGGCTAGGTTGAACCAGACCTGAGGACGTCAGCTGAGCTGGCCTTAGCTCAGGATGGAGAGCGGGGAAGGGCACCAGGCTGCACCACCAGGGACCTTAGAAACTCTCCCGCAGCACTATCAGTGCCCCTTTGACTGGAGCTGCTTTGTCGCAGGGGGGCTTGAGACAGGGACCCTGGGGGAGAGGGAAGCTGCACCTTGTTGGAACAGAGACAGTCCTGGGACACTCTCCTGGCAGGTGCCTGCCAGGCCTCACGGACGCCACTCCTGGACCCCCAGGACCCAAACACAGCTCTGGTGAGCTCGGTCCTAGCCCTGCAGCCTGACAGCTGCCCTGCCATCCTCTCAGGGACAGTGTCCCCTGCTTCATACTCAGATTCCTCCCTGCTTTGTAAGCCCGATGGCTCCGTGTCAGCTCCATCTTCTCCTCTGGCCTTCTCCCTCCTGCTGCCTTTGGTCCCATGGCCTCCTCCTATGCCTCTCACTTTCATAATGAGAGTCACAGAGTCATTTCTAGCTGGCCACTGAGTTCTCTTAGGCCATCAGCCATGTCTTTAACTTCAGTCTAGATTCTGTTTTTGCACTTTATGGCAAAGGGAGAGAGAGAGAAACAGAGACGGAGTCTTGCTCTGTCACACAGGCTAGAGTGCAATGGTATGATCTCAGTTCACTGCAACCTCTGCCTCCTGGGTTCAAGCCATGCCCCTGCCTCAGGCTCCCAAGTAGCTAGGACTGCAGGCACATGCCACCACACCCAGCTAATTTTTGTATTTTTAGTAGTGATGGGGTTTTGTGATGTTAGCCAGGCTGGTCTCGAACTCCTGAACTCAGGTGATTCATCGGTCTTGACCTCCCAAAGTGCTGGGATTACAAGTGTGAGCCACTGTGCTTGGTCTTTGATGTTTGTTTGGCACGAGGCACCTTAGTGGAGAGTAGGGAGTTCTGGTCTCAGGCCGGCTCTGCCACTTGCTGGCTGAGTCTCTTCCCTTCCCCAGGTCTCATTTCCACATCCGTGAGATGAGCAGTCAGCCTAGATCACAGATCTCCAGCATTTTTAATCATGCATCCCCAGCAATAACGTGAAAAAATGAGAAACATCCACTCATCGTATATATTCATGTATAAACTGTATATATTTACTACAATATTGATCTGATATAATATCAAAATAAAAAAATTTTAAGGACAACCTAAAAACTACATATTTAACAAATAATTTTCCCTTTAATAGATATAGTAAGAGTTCTTCCTTGCACTGTTGTTTGAATGTAACTAATAATACTGTAAGAAAAGCAATGTGTAAGGGAAAGCAAAGTGATTTTAGATTGAGCTAGAGCCATTCAGAGGTCTGGTTCTAGTTCAGTTTCTTTTTAATAGCTGTCATAACTGATCCAAAGAGAGGAAATGTATCATGGGCTGCATGCCTTAAATCATAGCACTCAGTTTCAACCCCACTCACCAATTAAGGCTTTCACTGGAAATTAAGCTGGTAATTGTCTGCCTCCCCTGATGTCAGTCAGTGGCTCTTACACTAAGCGGAAAGTGTTACATTTTTATATTTGTAACAATGGATTCAAAATCCACAGACATTCTTTATTTGGAGAATTTCCAAACAGGTCAGAAGAGTCTGTTTCTATATTTCCAGGTATGTAATATAAGCATTTCTATAGGTGATATACATGTTTTTAACCATGAAAATCCCATTTTAAAAATATTCTCTTCAAAGTATGAGTTTCTTTAGAAAAGCAATAGTGTTAAAATGAGTCACCTTTACCTTGAAGAGTCAAAGGAAATTGAGTTTATTTTTTAGTGGATATTTGCTAGGTAGCACACTGCCAACAGCTACTTGTCATCATAGAAAGGTCAGCAAATTCAGAACACTTGTCTTTTTGTGCCAGGAAAACATAAAACTGATCTTTAAGTTTGATAGCTCTTTTAAGAAGTCTTCCAAGAGCTAACCAGTAAACTTCCATGCGGTTCAGATTTTCATACTCACTTCCCTTCTGATTACAAATCATTGTGTGTGTGTGTGGCAGGGGGGTGGGTATATATATATATATATATATACACACACATATATTTGTATAAGTTTTACTATATATACGTACATACATATTACTATATATGTATACACAAATATGTGTATATGTATATATAGTAAAACTTATACATATATATTTACCATATATATATATATACCGTATATATATTTACCATATATAT